CTTCTTGTAGCAGATCCACTAGCATCACAATTGAGTTGTACCAGTGTTTTAAACTGGTATAGTAAGTTAAATTTTGTTTATTGTAAAATCCAGCAACATACAGATCTGAATTATTTGGGTGATAATACTAGTTCCTTCAAGTGAAGGAGAATACATCAGGAAAAAACAAAGCCTAGTCACTACTTGAATGAAGAGAATAGCTCAATGAAACCAGTTGGAAGCTGAGAAGAGCTTATGCTTTTGTCCTGTAAAAACTGTCTTGGGGAGGATCAAACTCTTCTGATTTCCTGTCTCACCTGTTCTAGGAGTCCGTAACTGCAGATGCCTGGGTATTGATTCAGAGTGATGGTGGGTGGTAAGCAGGAAATTCTTGTGTTGTGAGACTATGCTGCCCAGAGTTCTTTAGATTTGTTATCTCAAAATGTAGATAACAGTTTGAGTTTTCTTAACTCTGTAATTATTAGGAGAATGGAGTAATTCCCACACATACAGCTGTGAGCTATAATGTGATACCATCAGAGCAGTTTGGTCCAAATCCTCCAGAATTGCTACCCTTAGAAATGAGGGCTTTTTACTTATTAGAAAGATTTCCAAATTGCCCTTCATTGCTCTGTAAGATAAGTGTGGAGATTTTGGAGTCCACTTTAAAAACTAAATGAATCTGGCATGTATTAGTTTTTGTCTTGTACTGCCCACTTGCAAAGCCTTTTTAGTTAGAAGAGAATCTCTTTGGGCAGAGTATTTCCCGGAAAGTTTGTGAGTGGAGATGTAAGTGAAGGCTCTATCCGTAATTCCATTTGCAACTGAGTTGTTTGGTTGTTTGTTTGGTTTTTTTTTTTTTTTCTAACAGTGAGGTACAATTCAAGTAGGGATGCTTGAAAAGGGTTGGGCATTTTCCAACTTGTTTTTGCCAAACTTACAGGGGGTGTGGTGTGTCAAGAAAATACCCATTCTGACCCCAGCCACAATTTCCAGTCAGAGAGGAAGGCTATACATCTATATTGGCACATGCTCAACTTCAGCATTGCAAGATTATAGCACACTGCAAGATACGTAATTTATACTGAAAATGTTTGGGGCGTGGGTTGTTTTTGTTTTTCTCTTCCTGGTCAAATCAAAGATTACCAGTTATTGAAAAATATTTGTGCGTGTGTATGAATGTACATGCAATGACAAAAGTAGACCCTTCTGTACCACTCCTACAGAGTTGCATTCTGACTTAAAGTCAGACTTAAGGGCAACTGCTTAATGTAGAAGTTGTGTTTTTTCTTTTGTACTAAATGTGGTCAGGTGATTACAGTTAAAAAAAAAAACAACTTGCTGACTACCTTTTTTTAACCCTTTTGCTGTATCATTGAAACAGGAAGTGTCTGGAGCTCAGCAAGGATGACATTTATTCTTGGGAGGGTGGGAAAAGGTTAAAAGTAGGAACAGCTGATGAGGCAGGATGGCTCTAGAGAAGTGAAATGTGAACATCTGTTAAAGCTATACCAGTGACTATTTTGACTAATTGCAGCTTGCAGTTCCTCTTGAATTCCTTCTTCAATAGATGTCACTGCTGTCAGTGACAAACACAATATGGGCCTTTGGAGTATCATTAATTTAGGTAACAGAGAATGTAATAAAGAGTAAAAACAGGCAGATCCATTTAATGAATTTTCTTTTCTTAGTTATCCCAGTCTTCAGTACAACATGCACTAAAAATGAGATTCTGAAAATCTGATTTGTTATTGCAATTCCCCATTGTCTTCCCACTGACATTCCCTTTTACTGGGAAGATAGAAGACTGCTAGTAGTTCTAGTGTTGTGTCCACTGACTTACAGTTTCATTCTATACTTATCTTGTACCTCACGGTCCTACTGGCTTTTGTTCAGCATGAAGTCAGGGGTTTCTGTCTAAGCTTCCACCATCTTTTCCCTTAAGATAATATTCAGTACACTCAAATTAATCTCAATCCATTACAGTTGTCCTCTTCTCCTCACAGTAGAATTGTCAAAGATGTTTAGTAGCAGAAAAACCTCAGCAAGTTTGCTGACAACACCAAGCTGTGTGATTCAGTTGATACACTGGAGTGAAGGGATGCCGTCCAAAGGGACCTTGACACACTTGTGAGGTGGGCCGATGCCAACTTGATGAAGTTTAACCAAGCCAAGTGCAAGGTCCTACATCTGGGTTGGGGCAGACCCAGGCACAGTTACAGGTTGGGCAGAGAAGAGATTCAGAGCAGCCCTGTGGAGAAGGACTTTGGGATGTTGGTTGATGAGAAACTTAACATGAGGCGGCTTCAGTGTGCACTCACAGCCCAGAAAGCCAACTGTATCCTGGGCTGCATCAAAAGAAGCATGACCAGCAGGTCAAAGGAGGTGATCCTGTCCCTCTACTCTGCTCTTGTGAGACCTCACTTGGAGTATTGTGTCCAGTTCTGGTGTCCTCAACATAAAAAGGACATGGAGCTGTTGGAGCAAGTCCAGAGGAGGCCACGAGGATGATAAGAGGACTGGAGCACCTCCTGTATGAAGACAGGCTGAGAAAGTTGGGGCTGTTCAGCCTGGAGAAGAGAAGCTGCATGGAGACCCCATAGCAGCCTTCCAGTATCTGAAGGGGGCCTACAAGGATGCTGGAGAGGGACTCTTATGCTAGAAAGGGACTCTTCATTATGGACTATAGTGGCAGGACAAGGGATAATGGGTTTAAACTTCAACAGGGGAAGTTCAGGTTACCTAAAAGGAGGAAGTTCTTTACTGTGAGAATGGTGAGGCACTGGAACAGGCTGCCCAAGGACATTGTGAATGCTCCATCCCTGGCAGTGTCTAAGGCCAGGTTGGACATGGCCTTGAGCAACCTGGTCTAGTGAGAGCTGTCCCTGTCCCTGGCAGGGGGGTTGGAACTAGATGATATTAAGGTCCTTTCCAACCCTAACTATTCTGTGATTCTAAGAACAACTTGGGAAGCATTTTTGTTTAAAGAAACCAAATAATGGGTCTCCTGGTATTTTCCTTGTGCATCTAATACCTCCCAGCTCTGAGAGGGAGGTAACTTTCTGAGAATTACATTTGTTTTGCATTTCATCAGAAAGATGATTAATAAAAGGAGCCTGACTTTCCCAGCAGTACTGGCTTGCAACCATGTTCAATAGACTACATTGTTGTCCATTCTTAATTCAGGATGCAGTAAATTATTACTTGAGAAATCTCTTACACGTTTCCCTTCCTTTTGAGGGAATTCTCACAGCAGGGTTAAGTACTTAATAAATAACTTTGTATACTTTATGGTTTAGGTGCGTTTTGCACTTCAAACATCAATTCCAAGAGAAGTTTGAGCTGTAACAGGATTACAGCTGGTTTGGATAGTTATGTTTTCTTTAAACTGACGATACAGTAACTAGTTTACAGCTACTACAGATACAGAAACTATTTTACAACTCACAACTAATTCTTGCATTGCCATTGTCATCCTCGAAAAGCTGTAACTTCAAGATAAAGTGGCTACTTACTATATCAGTTCTTCCAGAAATGGCAAGATCAAATTCATCTGGTATGAAGAGAACAGGAAATAATTGTGTGCATGTGTTTGTGAAAGTCTAAGCCTACTTTGGAGGAAACTGAACTGCAGTTTGCTATGGTTGCCTGAAGGCAGAGATGTCAAGGCGTCAACTCATACCTCTGGACTAATTGCTACATCTGTTAGAGCTGATACCAGCTACCAGACTGAGACAAACCCTCTAGAGAATTAGTGTTAGTTGATGCAGTGGAGTCAGCAGTGCAGGAAAAACCCAGCTGCTGGAATCCATTGCTAGTGATTTGAGTGCATATTTTTCACATCATATTGTACATCTCCATGTATATCACTGTGTGTGATCTATGTGTCACTATGTGTGAATAAAAACTGAGAACACTTCTGCTGATTTCTTTTAATTCAGAAAGAAAACAAAGTTTTTATCAGTTTTAGCTTTCATGAATTGCTAAGTTTCTTCCTACTTTTTTTCCTATTGCAGTTTGAGTTCATTCAACTACACTGTAAAATTCACTGCACAAGATATAAAAATGGCAAAAAACTGGATCACATTTTTGCTGCTGTTCTTATCAGTTACTATGGTAAGTCTTATGCATTTTTTAAATTACTTCCAGATTGAACAAGTGTGTACACAATGCCATAGAAATTATTAATATAGAAATGCAGAAACAACTAATACTGTGTTCAAATGTAGTTTCTGTACAGCAGGATCTTTATTTACTTTCTCCTTTAAATTCCTGTGGTAAAGAAATGGAAATAGTATTTGCCTCTGCTGAATGCAGCATATCCTTTGCTAGCAGAAAACATTACGTTAAGGTTAACAAGTGACATATAAGCAGAATTGTGCAGACCCAGGAAAAGTGGAGAAGACATATAATTTGGATTGAGAGGACATCCTTGGAACTTTTGATTTCACCCTTTTATGACAGTGGCACAGTATTTCGATCTGCAGTTTTATTTTTCTATGAAGTTTAGTAGCTTCCCATAAAATATTTAACTACTTAAAAAAAATGCACTTAAAAGGTTCAGGTTTAGATCAACATCCATGGTTTTAAGTGGATGTCATGTCTTTTGAACACACTTTTGTATTTTGAGGGTTGACTCTGTGGTTCACCAGACAACAGAGAAACCAAATAGCTCTTAAAGAAGCCAAAAGCTTCAGTGCATACAGTCAGAGACTTATGAAAGTCTCTTTATAAAGGATAATTTTTTGCATGATTCATATGCTTTTTAGACTAATGTAATGTTGATGTATTTTACAGGATTTTGCAAAAGTTGTTTATGTACTTCTGACTGTCTCAGTGTTTTCTGTGCGTTTTTCCATTACTATTTACAAATCTTGCAGATTGTTACTGCCCCCTGCTCAGTCAGGAGGTATTTGTCAAGATTCAGTAGTAAGAATTGCTAAACTAACCAGAGAAACACAAAATCCTACTGTCAGTAATAAGATTTGATGATCACTTTCCTTCAGTAAAATAGTATTTTAAATATTTTAAAGGATTGAAGTATAAGAAGTTTATATTGGAGTATGTACATGACTTGCTAAAAAAAGTCTTTTTCCTTTTAGTTTTTTGCCACTGCTATACCATCTGAAGGGCATCAGAATATGACAGAGGACTTCTCTCAGCTGAGTGTTACACGGAATAAGATTATGACAGCACAATATGAATGCTACCAGAAAATTATGCAAGATCCTATTCACAGGAAAGAAGGTAGAGATTATTTTCTTATAAGGATTTACAAAGGCAAATGGTCAACATATATTATTACAATAATTTAGGATCCTTTGGTTATATTCATTTCTTGTCTTAGTAGCAATCATTTTTCAGGCTGTAACAGTATTTGTACAATTTTTTAGAAATGTCACGTTTAGGATTCATGAAAGTAAGTAATATGTTACCTGTTCATAGCACCACTTCTTCTATAACACAAAGCTTTTATTTCTGATAAGAAAATGTTAATTTAAACAGATACCCAAATTAAAAAATTATGAGGAATTAATCTTACCACTTTATTTAATGCTCTTGTAATACCTCTGGTCACACCTGCCTTTAAAAATTGGAAGTATCTTGGTACGCATAAATTTCCTGTACCAAGGCTTTTGTTAGTGTTATTTATGCTTGCTTACAATGAATTTTCTTCTCTTCAAAAATGATTCTTTGGAGGAATTGGATGTCTATAGGTCAGAAGTGGATATGAGCATGAAAGTGTAAGCTGATGTCCAGCCTGGGGCATCACATCTTCAGAAGTATCTGGACAGATTGGAAAGTCTTCAGATGAGAAGACAAGGAATTACATAACATTTGAAAAATGCATCTTTGTGATGGGGGCATTATTAAGTCCTGAAGGAAGATACTAAAAACATCTACAAATTTGTAGAGAGGGTCAGTCATTTTGGGTGCCTTTTGGGAAAGAATTTGTTTATAAAACCCCAGCTCATTCTCAGGGGAGGTTTATTTTAGATGTTAAAATTTGTGTGAGTGCAATGAGGCATCAAAACAAGCCTTTCAGGGACACTGTGGGTTCACTGTCCCTGGAGCACTTGGAGAAGTGTCTGGCCATGGTAACCACTGCAGGCTCAGCTCTGCAGAGGAGCTATGGCTGCCTCACAGCCAGGCTTTCTGATGGCTTCTAGGGTACTACTGTGTTTTCAGTGAGCTAGAAAATTTATTTATAGGCTTGGTATACATACAACATGTAAATAAATTAAGCAAAGATGTATTTGCAAGCTTAAGGCTCTTTGTTAATATGCACCGTTTGGTCTGAATAGATTTAGGGGGATTTGCCTACTGTGCTCTAGATCTGAGGCTTGTAAATTGTAGATGTAGACTGTTTCAAGGTGAATGATGATGGATTTTTAAAATGTGTTCAAAGAAATATACATGTAAGGAACTATTAAGTGGAGTTTTAATTAACTAATGCTAAATCTTATGTTTCTTTTTTCTTTTTTCCCCCTCATTCCTGCAAGTGGGAAACTTACCTTATACAGTCTTCCATCTTGCTTTTGAGAGACTGTTATGAAAGAGGGTTGCTGTTTTATTACCAGATCTCTACTTGTTTGCAGGTCCTTATTGTAATAGGACATGGGATGGCTGGTTGTGTTGGAGTGATGTTGCTGCTGGAACTGTGTCAGTACAGCGTTGTCCTGACTACTTTCAGGATTTCAACCCATCAGGTAAGTGTGCATGGACTTCTGCCTCAACCTATTTCTTAATAAAATTAGGTTTTAGGTGCTTGATTTGCCCCACTCAAAGTCACTAATACTCCAGAATTTCAGTAACTACAAACCCATTATTTGCATTTTCATAGAATCACAGAATAGTTAGGGTTTAAAAGGACCTTAATTTCATCTAGTTCCAATCCTCCTCCCATGGACAGGGACAGCTCTCACTAGACAGGTTGCTCAAGGCCCTGTCCAACCTGGCCTTGAACACTGCCAGGGATGGGGCATTCACAGTGTCCTTGGGCAGCCTGTTCCAGTGCCTCACCATTCTCGCAGTAAAGAATTTTTTCCATATACCCAACCTAAATCTCCCGTTTAAGTTTGAACCCATTGCCCCTTATCCTATTGCTACAGTTCCTAATCAGCGGCTCTCCAGCATCCTTGTAGGCCCCCTTCAGATACTGGAAGGCTGCTATGGGGTCTCCATGCAGCTTCTCTTCTCCAGGCTGAACAGCCCCAACTTTCTCAGCCTGTCTTCATAGAGGAGGTGCTCCAGCCCTCTTATCATCCTCGTGGCCCTCCTCTGGACTTGCTCCAACAGCTCCATGTCCTTTTTATGTTGGGGACACCAGAACTGCACACAGTACTACGTGTAGAGGGGGAGAATCACTTCCTTCAACCTGCTGGTCACGCTTCTTTTGATGTGGCACAGGACACGGTTGGTTTCTGGGCTGCGAGCACATGCTGCTGGACCATGTTCAGTTTCTCATTGACCAATGCCCCCAAGTCCTTTCCCTTTATTACAACTGACAAGTTAGTGTTGGTTGTTTTGGGCTTTTTGGGGGGTTGGTTGTTTTGGTTTTTTTCTGAAATATCTCCTTGCAGGATTCTGTCGGCTATGACATATAACATGAAGTTAGATCACAGTTTTTTGTCCTCTGAGAGATCTCTCTAACAAACAAGCAGAAGTATGACTTAATCTTTTACCTCAGTTTAACAGTAGAAGCTTCCCCTGCAAGAGAATCTTTTTCTGTTTCTGTAGGGCTAAGCTTTGTATCTGTGAGCATGTGGAAAATGTCATAGACTTCCACTCTTGTCTCTTCCTGCTTCATTTGGTATTTCCCAGGGTCTTTTCATGCCTCCTTCTATTTCACGATAGAAATCATTAGGTAGTCACAGTTTTCCAGTTTGGTTCTTGAGCAGTATCTCTGTTCATTTTTTCTTGCCTATTCAGTTCTAATTCACAGTGGTAGAATGTCAGATGTTAGTTTAGATCTTGGATGCTAAACAAGCTGTTTAAAAATTCTTGTCACTTTGACTGGTAGTTCTTGAGCAGTTGGTTTGATGTATTTTGATACTTACTGGCTTGGAGGAGGGAAAGCTATTTGTTTTCTGAAGAAAAACACATCATCAGTTGCTCTTGCCAAACAAAAGCAATGGTCTCTAGTTTCTCAGAATTCATAGTAAGAAGCAATGTCTCTCTAGTCATATAAATAAAGCTGTCATTTTTTTGCCTGTTTTTCTTCATTAGATACTAGGCCTTGGGAAGTAGAACTTCAGTGCTGACTCTTGTGTTTTTCTTTTGTTTTCTTTTTTTTTGTTTTTCTTTCCATCTGCTTTCTAGAAAAGGTTACGAAGATCTGTGATCCAAGTGGGAATTGGTTTAGACACCCAGAAAGCAACAGGACATGGACAAACTATACCCAGTGTAATATCTATACACATGAAAAAGTGAAGGTAGGAAAGGAATGAATGCAAGTTCCTAGTGTCAAGAAACTGATCTGAAAAACTGCACAAGTTCAAAACTCAAATGGCAACAGAGTTGATGCAATATCAGATTGCAAAAAGAAAAAAGTATGTTGAATAAAAAGGGTGAATTGTGCTAAACAGACTCAGAAAAAACCCTCCAACCCACCTGCTTTGTGTTTTACAGCTGATTTCAGGTGCTTGAATAATATTATCTTTTTTTTTTTTTTTTTTCCTTAATGGCATTTTTAGTGTGTGGGTACTCGTATTTGTCTAGGTCATCCACAGCCATCTACTGGTAAGAAAAGTATGGTATGCCTTATAAGAGCAGACCTTTACATTTTACTCTGTAATTTGAAGTAGGTGCAAGTTCAACAGAACTGCAGGTTTGCACAGCTGTGGAAGATGTGCTGAGTGCATGAGTTTATCCGACTAAGTTATGGTAGCACATTTTCAGTAAGTGCACAACCAGAGCTTTATTTGAGATTAGTACTTCTTCAAGGCAGCTTTCAGTAGAGTTCAGATTTATTTTGTTTTTTTGGTTTTTGTTAGGGTTTTTTTTTTTTTTTTGGTTTTTGTTTGTTTTTTTGTTCATTTGTTTGTCTTTGTGGGTTTGTTCCCTGGTTTTTGGTTGGTTGGTGTTTTTTTGGGTTTCCCCCCAGCCCCAGCTGAAGCAGAGCTAATATCTTTTTTTACAAAATGCAGGCAAGCTGTAGTTGAATGGATTCACCACAGGATCTTAGGAGGCCAAAGGGAAGTAAATCATGAGAAATGTTAGATGGGATTTGTTTTCCCTTGTGATCCTTTTCCTGTGTATGTCTTGTGTCCTAGCTCCCAAGTGCCATTTTTTTTTTTCAGTCTCTGAGATGTAAGCAGCTTTCATGAATGGAAAACCTATACTTGAAGTTTAAGTTAAATTTTGCAAGCATCCAAAATTATCTCAGGCCAGGCAGCAAAACGATTTGAGAGAGTGGTTTGCTATATATCAAAGTTGTTTTATTTCTATATATGGGCATGCACATACATACTTTTGTGGATATATGTATAGACTCTTTTTTTTAAATCGACTTCAGTTTATCTTGCCCATGCATTGACATATTTAGAAAAATAGTAACAAACAAAAGAATCTGGTAAACTTCCACATGCCCTCTTTCTGAGATCCTCTGTGATATGTAAGGATATAATGGCAAAATTGCATATTTTGCATTCCCTACCCCTCTATGGGAATGCAAAACTCTATATTCACTGTGAGCAAGCTCTATGATAAAAACTCACATACGTATCATGGAGTTTGATCACTCTATGAGTAATAGACTCATAGGATAGACTGTAAATTAATTTAGGCCTTGTGGAAAAGAGCTCAATAATAACAGATTGCATCAAGAATACTGAGATAGTAGAGATCCTGCCTGCCTGCATCATTGCGGTCAGGAGTGCTTTAGTGTATTTGCCTGGAAACCATATTGAGAAAAGTGGTAATAAATCATCATAAGGCACTTTTGTATTGCTTTTTTGCAAATCATGAGACATTGAATACACTAATAACCATTTAATTCTACTAGCAGAGATGCTATAATTCATTGATTCTTGCTGATATTTGGTTGGAAACAGATGTTTTTCAGACAGGAGCAGATCCATGCAGGTCCTTCTTCTTGAATAATGAGCTAGTTTTCCTCAGGCTGTTTTGCCAGCATATTTCAAGTCTGTCATGCATCAGAAGGTATTTTTTAAATGGAATAATAGCTCCAAAAAAGTCTTACAGCTTGCTACGATTCCACATTAACAATATTATCTTTTCACTTTGCTCAGAAGGTGGGTTAGATAATGCACAGTAAATGTGACTGTTATCCATTCTTACTGCCCTCAGCAGCAGTCCCTGCCATACCACTGCTGTATGCTAGTTCTAAGTTGCGCAGAAATCTAAATCCTTAACGTGCATCTTTGCCTAAATCGGTCACAGAATGTGGGGGTGATTTGGGATATGGATCTGTCGCAGAAATGGATCATATGCACATAGCCAAGCTTTAGCAATTCGGGGGTAACCTTTGTTTTTTCTCACAAATTTTTATGAAAGTTTCACTTAAACCTATTGCATTGCTTTTAAATTCTTTTTTTAAAGTTATCTCGTTTTAAAAAATAATAATAATTTGAAAAATGCTAGCATGTACAAAAAAGTACCCTTGTCTCGTCATAAAACCTTAAAGCTTTACCTGGAATCTGTTTGGGGTTTTTTTGGTTTTTTTTAATATTTCAGAAGTCAATATATGTAGCAAGTTGCAGTTTGTCTATCTTAAATTAAGTCAATTTAAAATAAGTTCAATCTTCGATAAGTTCAGAGGGTACATACAGTTAGAAGTACATCAGCAGTCATAGTACATGAGCATAGAATCCAGATAGTTGTGCTTTATTTTGATAGAATAAGGTTCAGCCTTATTGTTATTGTTCATGTGTACAAAATTATTATCTTGCTTTTAATGCAACACGAGAAATTTTGTGAGGCAGATTCCATGACTGAAAGCAGGGTGTTTTTACAAATGGAATTTAATATATCATTAATTCAAAGAATTAGTGATAACATGTTGTATATATTCCAGATATTAATTAACTGGTTCTTCATTTTTACCTTTTGTACCTATCCAGCTTTTCATAATTCTATAATTTGGCTGTAGGCTTATTTAATGTAGACTGTTTAGTCTTCATTGTTTGTTGGGATTTTTTTATGCCCTTCCTTAAATGCCAAGTGAAAACTAAACTTCCAATATCATAGTCGCAGCTTATTTTAAAGGAAGTATCTTTAAATGATAAGAACAAATCTATGAGGAAAAAAATACATGAATTTATATAGGAAGCATGTGTTTTACTTAAGAGTTGTGTTAATAAAGGAATCAAGCCTCAGACAGGAATACATAAATGGCCACATTTATGTAAATACTTAGAAAAAAGCCTAGCCATATATATTAGAAACCTGATGTCTTAACTGATGAGTTCTAGTGATTATTTCAACAGATGTGTTGCATGTCCTATAGAAAGAGATTTTAGCAAGATGTTGATTTGCAGGATTCTAGACTTGAGTCATCATTATCTGTAATGTTTTTATTAATCCTATTATAGTTCTTTTATATGCAGAAGAGATGTGTAAGTATGTGCTTTATCAGCAATAGTTCTGTGTGAATCACAGGTGCTTGCTTTTGTTCTTATATTGCAGACTGCTCTGAACTTGTATTACTTGGCCATCATTGGACATGGTCTTTCAATTACATCACTTCTGATTTCTCTTGGCATATTCTTTTATTTTAAGTAAGTATGTTTAAAATTCTTTACCAAGTATCAGTGGTTGCAAATATCCTAGTTTCAATACTTTGGAACACCAGCCATTCCAAAGAAATTTAAAGGAGCAAGAAGGCAAAGAGTCAGTATATTGCTTTGGTGAACATTATAATGTAATAAAATTTTAGGTTTCTTTTAATAGAAACCTAAAATCCCAAGTCTGTAAATCAAAAACTGTAGAAGATACTGAAAATAGGAAGTGGGAAAATGGGAATTAAAAAAAAAAAAAAAAGTTTGTTTGTTTTGGGTTTAGGTTTGGGGTTTTGTTGTTGCTGTATTTTCGGTGGGGGTGGGGGTTTAATAAGTTGCAGTGTGGATATGCCAATCATCAACCAAACAAAAGAACAAATGGAAACCAAAATGATATATACATTGATATGATAGGTACAGTAACATTGCAAAGTAGGTAGCCACAGAAGGTGATAAACTGTAAAGAAAGTAATGCAAAGAGCTATAATAGGAATGGGAATAATAAAAATAATCCTGAGGTTTTATTCACCACATTATCTCTATGACAGTTACGTCATATCCATTGTCTGACAGTTACTACATTACCATCCTGAAAGTGAGCTGTGTATCACCACTGTCACAACAACTTGTAATATAATACACAGATCTTTAAAAATAAGTAATACTTGTGAACTTACTTTTCTTTCCCATGAAAGATTCCTTGTGGGTTTTTTTTGAAGAAGTTGATAAGGTTTAGTAGAAAGGTGAAACCAGGAGTGTTGCCACATGAGCAGAGCTGAGAGACAAGTTACATCTGCTAAATGCTGCACTGCACAGTGTAGGCTTTCCTTGTTAACTGGCACAGTTTTAACCATTTCTGCATTGTTTTTTATTGTCTAATTTAGATCTGCTCTATGGTCTTACCTGTTGTTTACTGCTGTACCCTACTGTCTCACTTGATCTTTTACTTTTCCTCTAACATTTAAATATGAATAGAACATATGCTAGCAACTGGGGCTAGCTCTCATGCTCTGGACTTTGATTAGGTAAGAATAGCAGATATCCAACAAAAAAAATATCCTTTTTAGTTGCATCTGGCTGAATATAGTGTTTCCAATTTAGGTCTGCATTATTTCCCCAGTTTCTGGAACATTTCCACGAATCCCCAGCAAACCAGAGTCTTTCCACTTTGTAACCTCTCTTTATGAAATCCAGTATTCAAGATGACTTTTCAGCTTTTTCTGACTTCTTCTCATGAGGATCGTGTTTGTGAGGACAAACCAAAACATTTGTGGGTTTTTTTAATCAGTTTATTTGCATATGACTTGTAAAAACAATTTTTACCATTTCCAAATTCACTTTCCCTCCACAAAATCAACAGGTGAAATGGCTCTGAGTTCTTATAAGAAGCTTTATTTTGCATAAAAAAGCTATACGGTTGCTGTGAATGTCACAAGTTTAACAGACTAAGTATATAATGTGACAGGAAAAATGTTTTGACAGACTTCTCAGGAGAAAACAAAAAGATTTGGAATACGATATGGTTTATAAGTTCAGACAGTAAAGCATGATATTTCTGCACTATAACATGAAAACCAAGCCGTTTTCATCTTGGCCTTGTGGCATTTGCTGCAAAAGCAGGTGATCTGCTTTGTGACCCTTATAACTATATCATGTTTGTCTAGCCCTCCCAGGTTTTTTTCCCCCTCTGTTAGAAGGATCATCTCTCCACAGAGAACTACGTGGAATTAATCCAGACCCACAAACCATGTTTTCTAGACTGTGGTTATGTTGGGATATAAAAGGAAATTACAAAATTTAAAGGAAGCTAAAGAAAGTCCTCTACAAGCTGTTCTCTTGGGATGTACAGTTCCTCTAAAGTATTTTTAGGACCAGAAGGATATTTAAGGATCTAGATTAATACCAGGATGTATTATGTATCGGCTGAAGCTTGTATGATTATTCATAGCTTTAACAGGTGGGCTTTTTTTTTTTTTCCTATTGTGTGTGTGTGCCTTTGAACTTGTCATGTTTCCAAAAAATTTATTCTATTAGTCAATTGATAGTCTCCAGATGATATTTGCTTGATTTCTGACCATTAGAATATCTTTAGGTTTGACTTGAAAGGTGGTATCTTTCTCCAGAGGAAAACCAAGAGGTTTTTTCAAATATCTTCAGCTTTTCAAATACCAACTCCTTGGGTTTTGAAGCAATTAAAAAGATTAAACCAGTTTTGTGATTTTTTTTTTTTTTTTTTTTAATTTTTAATTTGAAATTCTCTCTTCAGAAAAATGTCTCATTGGAAATAATTGTCCAGTTTGTTACTTGTGTTCCCCAGGATAATTGCAGTTCTTGGTTTAATAGCATAAAATGGGCTATAAACTTGGAACTCTGATCTTCCTCTCTGAAAAGTCACCTGTGACACATGAAAAAAAAAGTGACTTCTTGCAGTTGTCTCTGCTTTCTCTTTCTGTTACATTCTCTAGGTCATACATGTGCTTATTATAAAATCTTATGTTAAAATAGTTCTATGGTTTACATAAAGAAAAGGGGGAAAAAAACAAACCCAAGGCAAGAGAAATCTTAAACTTATGGAGTCCAGAGAAAGGGGAGCTGTAATTTGAAGGATGGCCCTCAACCTGAACAAACCCCAAACCAACCAAACAAAAAAAGTCCACATGAAATAAAGGAGTTGTTGATGAAGCATCATGTCAAATCGCATGGGAGCACTCAGAGAATAGGAATGCTGTGCTTAAAGAGGGGGCAAACAACTGAGTGGTAGACTGATAGAGAGATCGGAGGTTCCCAAGTCACTGAAAGTTAATTTTGGCTGAACAGAGAATTCCCTTAGGTGCATATGTGGATCTCAGTGGTTGAATTTTGTGGTATATGAATACCTTAAGAATTTAGATCTCAAACATATCTGGGATTTTGAAAATGTTACATTTTTTTCTTTTTGGAGAGAGATTGCAGAAATTAAATTTTCCCTAATGGCCAAGCCATGTAGGAGTCAAAATAGGAAGGGAAATAGGTAAATTAGCAGGAAGTCTGGTTTTTATTTTATTGCACATGGTTTAATCCAGAGGTAGGCCATTCAAATGTTCTTAGGTCATAATTATGAGAATTAAGTGATTAAAGGATATTATGTCATTAAGAAAAAAATAGTCAGAAAGAGGAATATAGGAAGAGGAACAGAAGAGGGAGGTTGGGGAGGCTTAGGAAAAGATCCTTTTATTACCAAAAGCAGCCTTCATTTTTAAATGTCATCAGTCTTGCTTTCTTGTTTCTTGTCTTGTGATCCTTTCAATCCTTTTCTGCATGGGTGGAGGTGGGTGTGGATGGGTGTGTTTGAATATTCAACAGGAACAGCTGCTGGATGACCCTGAGAGATGGCCCCATTAGCTGTACGTGCTTTTCCTTGCCTGCGCACTGAATCTTTAACAATAAGCAGACAGAATTCCAGAGTTCTTCAGGACTTGTTTACACAAAGCCCTTAGCTGGAATCCAGTGTCGCCTCTCCTTTTGTATATAAACCACATAGGAAGAAAAAAAACCTTATGAAAGTACGTTTTCAAAGCACATAAACACCTGCATATCTTAATAATCAAAGCTGTATGTGTTCGGGGCATTAAAACAAAAAAAATAAAAAGCCTGATGGAATGTACTTTATCACTTAATTCATATCTAAACCTGTGTTCTGTAATTTGGACGGTTTTTCTTTTCTGTTTTCTTCAGGCTAACAACACTTAGCAAACAGAAGTTTGACTAGCGTAGCGCCTCATGCTGCATGGCAGCTCTGGTTTCTAGAGTGGTTTCCTTCCCCCATATTTAGTGAAATGAGGCTTAGAATGTCTCAGGGCTCCAAGGCTTGACTTGCACAAACTCTGCCTGATTCGTGGTATTGCACTACCCATATCTGAGCGTACCCCATGCATCTTTGTGTAATAGTTGTGAAGAATGCATCTAAGTGCAGTGTGCTCTATAGCCAGTCTTTTTTTACTCTCTTGTTTTATCTGTCATGTTCTCAAGTTTTCAGTATACTCCTGCAGCTTTCATGACTGTTCTATATCTGCATTTTTCTATTAAAATATAACTTTCTTCTCCCTCCTGCTCTACCAAATTAAAAATTAGTCATCAATGTTTGTACTTTATCTTGTCTTCCAGGCATGCTATTTGAAAAGGCTAGACAAGTTGATTTTCCTTTGTGACAATTTAGATTTGTCCCATGCTGACCTTTTCAGTGTATTTCTGATTGCTCTAACAGTGAAGGGCAGTTGCATGTGTGATAGGTTTTCCTCCTCCAGTTATATTGTCAATCGGCTGCACTCCGTGGTGCTGGCTGCTAAATGGAGGTAGACAGGTATGGTTGTAAAGAACAGACTCTCTACAGCAGAGGCTTCAGTAGGTGCTTTCTCCAGATTTAACTAGAGAGTGTTTTCTTAGAGTGTCCTTTTTTAACAAAATGGATGTTACTTGCTCTTTTGGGAATTTTGAGCATTAAGGTTTAATATTCCAGTGATCTGAATTGTCCATATATCTGTACAGGCTTTCTATCTTTTTTTGTGTTTTTTTTCTTTTGAAAAACTTAAATGAGAAGCACTCCTGCCTCTTGGAATGGCACTAATTCAGACCTGTTTTCTCTAGTATGGCAGATAAACAGAAATTTGCTATGTTCAGCTTCCAGTATTGTTTAACATTACTGATACTCTGCTTAAAAAATCCGAACAACAAACCAGCTCTTCCAAAGATCTTTTTTCTTTAATTTTATTGCAAGATTAAAAACAAACTTTGAAAAATAACACAATTAAATGTAGTTAGATACTACATTTTATAACTGTTTATATACTGTTTATAACCGGGTTATACACAAACATCATTATAAGATATGTGTTATTTTACTTATTTGGATATTTCTCTAGTTACAAGATCAAGGAAGGAATAGGACAGGAATACAAGTAGTAAAAAAAAAAAATAAGTTATCCTCAAAACATCTTAGGAGGTTTGGGTAAATGGAAATGCAGGGTGAGAGATCTTCTTCAAAGATATAAATCTTCTGAAACATGTTACATGATTGCTATTCAGATGTTTTTTAGATCGCCACTGCAAAGCAGGTCCTGCCCTGTGAACACATTGGAACTGAATGTACTTGCTTTGCCTCCTGTTGGCATTGAAGGGAAAACGTTACCTTTCACATCATTCTATTAAATTTGGACTGTAGCTTAAGAAAGGGTTGATGTAAGACTTCTTAATAAAATAAAGAGCTCTAGTATTTCAAAATTTCAGGGTGTCCCCAAGTACGCAGTTTTTTACCCCCGGGTATTCATTTGTTCTTGTTTCTCTTTTCTAGGAGCCTGAGTTGCCAAAGGATTACCCTGCACAAAAATCTATTTTTCTCTTTTGTTTGCAACTCAGTTGTAACAATAATTTCACTGACTGCAGTTGCCAACAATCAGGAATTGGTTGCAACTAATCCAGTAAGTAAAACTATATTTGGCAGCCTTGTTGATTTGTTTGTGAGCAACTCAGAAGAGATGAGACATGAATAGTTGACAAAATATTGTATATTGTGAGGTTAAAATGTTCAGTAACTATATGTCCATGTTATGTAGTACACCAGATGTCTAACAATGATTTGGGCATTCCACATGTGTGGTTTTGAAACAGTAGAAACACTCTAAGAGACAAAGCACACTGAACTGCTCTTCTGAGTCTACAAATCCCTTTTGCACTGAAACAACTGTAGGAAAGTAGCCTGTTCTAGATGATCTCAGTGAGGTTACGGCAGTTCAATTCACCAAGGAAGGGCAGTGAAAGAAGCATTACAGCGTATTTTAGATCTGTATGCTACTTGCATATGGCTTTAGCTTTGCCATCTTCAGTTGAAATGAAAAGAATCAATTTTGGGTTCTTTTGTGAAAGGAGGTGACACTGACCCTTATATTCCAAAAGTAAAAACCAAAATGAAAACCCCATCCGTCTGGGTCTGATTTCCTCCCTGCCTCCCCACCCCCCCGCCATCATTTCCTGATAACACTGGGTAAGTGTGAATCAGAGCCTGAAAATGGAATACATAAATAAATCCCTAATTGCGGCCTTACTTTAATTTAGGCCTGGAAGATAAATTCAAATCCTATGAAAGTTAGGGCAAAACTCCAGAAGCTTAATCAAGCAAAAAGATAAATTCTCTTTCTCCTGTAAAATGTCATCCAGGTGCTGGAAAACAATCTTGAAATAGATGCTAATCACCTCATGAGTTAGGTAGCAAAATGTCATAAAAAAATGTTCATTTTTGGTTTGTTTTAAGCTAAGTGCTAAAAATAGATCAATCCAACACTCGGCAATTACAGGAGGAAAAAAAAAATCCACTGAGTCTAAATCTGCACATTAATGACTGCTTCTCTTTCACAACCTCACGTTTTAGTCTTCACAGTAAATTGTTTTGTAACATTTCAGTTGAAGAATGTCTTTTGAATGAACCTAAATACAAATATATGCCAACAACAGAGATTCTTCTCAACTGGCGCTAAGTGCTGCTATGGCTAGGTTAAAGTTGGAAGTATTGTAAGCATTTTAAAAACATAAACTATTCTCTGGAGTAGCTATATGTTGTGACTGGTGAAATTTGAGAGGGGATTACCTTCATCAAAATACATTTTTGGTTGTGTGTTTACCATCAGATAATTTAAGGATTCCCTACTGATGGCTAAGTGTGGCAATGTTTGCAATACGGGAAATATCATTATGGCTTTCTACCATAATGCTCAAGTATCTTGAGGTACTCATGTTTGAATAATAAAAATATAGACTCAGTTACCACTTTTATTGTCACCATAAAGTATGGAATTGTAATACCTGAAAATTTGACTAAAAAAAAAAAAAAAGTAAATGTAGTGAAAAAGAGAATAAACATTAAAATTTTACTTAAACAGTATTTTTTACCATTTTGCAAATAAAGCTCTGAGATTTTTGCAACTTGAACATTAATATTGTACTCTGCTCTTTTTCTGCAGCTTAGCTGCAAAGTGTCACAGTTCATCTACCTGTACCTAATGGGTTGCAACTACTTTTGGATGCTGTGTGAAGGCATTTACCTGCACACTCTCATTGTGGTGGCTGTTTTTGCTGAGAAACAACACTTGATGTGGTATTACCTTCTTGGCTGGGGTATGCGATTTCACCTTCTATGTTTTCAGGCCAAAGCAATCTCTTCCTTCCTTTCATGAGAATTAAAACATCTGTACCTTTGCTTCTCTGAGCTGGTAGCTTTGAACAATGATGACACACCCCTCTTTGTGGTGTTTCAACAGGCTTAGAATTATGAATGTAGGAAGTTGTATGTACTTCTGTCTTTGCTGAGAGATTATGCGTTTCTGGAGTCAGGAAGCGACTCCTCCTTTGTAAAGAGAAAATAGTCTCCTATTATAAAAAGATATTAAGATGTAATTATTCATTGTTCCTCATCTCGAAGATGTTTATTCAGGAATGAATGTTTGTTTTCAGAGAAGTCTCGCCATGTCTTGGGTGGAGGGTCAGAATTGAGTTAAAGATGGCCAAGGATTTATTTTTCCAGCAGTTCCATTTGACCTGTATTGTTCACTAAGCAAATACAGAATAGCTGTAGCTGAAGATCTCAAGAAATATCAGTATCAAAACTAACAAGCCAAACCTGGTCATTTCAGATAATGCACAACAGCATATTCACAAAGTGCAAGTGAAGGCTTTCTCCTCAGTCTCAGTGTATTGGCACATTCAGCTATAACATGACTTGGTACCCAGGTAGCTGTCCCACTACAAACACACCTGACATGTGGTTAAAAGATCATAGGCGCACAGCAACTTCTGAAAATTGAGTACCATCAGAGTGTCAAGGACCCCAGATAACTAATATGCCTATTAGTTTAAATTTTTAGTTCTACCTGAGTTCCAGAGTGATTTCAAATTTGTTTTGCAGGTGACCTTGTTTTCTGTACACCTAGCAAGTATCAACATTGTTAAACATACCTTTAAAGCTCTGGTCATGTATAGAATTACCTTTTTACTACTACTATCCAGTTAGCATATTGCAAACTGCAGTCTGAAAAAGGCTGTGTTAATGAAGATTGACTGTTGCATTCTAAACAGTTGTAATTTGATTTGCCTTTTCTTTCTGTGCATTGGTAAGGATTTCCTTGGCAAGACAGTGGGAATAAGGTTTTATACACCCCTCAGAAAGAAATCCAAGAAAATAGAAATGGTATTGGCTGTGGTTACTTCAGTTGCTCTTCAGGTTTATAGTTTGGATGAGATGAAAATACAGAAGATACCTGCAAGAGATGCAAGATGTAGTTATTAGGTTTACATATGAAGAAAACATTGTTTTTTTCTTCACAGGTTTTCCACTGATCCCTGCCTGCATACATGCTGTTGCTAGAAGCTTATATTATAACGACAAGTAAGTAGCATCTCAACTTGCTTTGCAAAACTGTTTTATTTGCTTTAAGGGGAAAAAAAGGAATACAAGAGATACTAATATGACAAACATTTGTTGGTTGGTTTTTGTTGGTGTTTTTTTCTTCTTCTTGTTTGTTTTCTCTAGTTGCTGGATCAGCTCTGATACTCATCTGCTGTACATCATCCATGGCCCTATTTGTGCTGCTCTGCTGGTAGGCATTTTTCAGATATATTTTTTTTTTCTTATTTGTTTTCTGGCTGTTTTTCATGGGCTTATAAAGTTGGTGATAGCCTAAAGCTCAAATTTAGAGGTCACTGTCATTTGCAGGACCTCTCACTTAACTCAGCAGGTGCCTTAGTCTCACAGGATTTATAAGTCTTGGCCTTATTAAGGAGCTGTACCCCTGGTCCTTTGGGAAGCTCAGATTTTACAATGTTAGTTATCATTCCACTTAAATGCTACTGACAAAGAATGACTAAATACTACCTGGAGTACTACATTTAAATCCTTCCTTCACTGAGAATGCTTTCTTATTGCCCAGGCCATTTGCCAGCTTGACCTTATTACAAGCATCCAGACTAGATGCTACCAGACTGGATCTCACTGAGGTTCAGAATGGGGGTTCTTGAAGGTCAGGACTGATTGTGGGTGGGAGTACAGGATGGATTTAAATTGGAGCAGGCCCTTGGGAAAGAACCAGTGGAAATAGTTTTGTATCTGAGACTGCCACTGTTCTGATACTAATCTAGCAGTGTGTGCTTTCACCCCTGGGGTGTTGCATCGCCTCTGATCTACTAGTCCTCATGAACTCTTAGAGAGCAGTGTTCAGTCTTATGCTTCAAGTTAATGCCAGCTCTATTACGTGAGTGTTTGCTGCTGAAGACAGTAAATTCTAGGTAAGTAATTGAAGACACCCTTGTGTAAAAATCGGTGTTGTACTTCAGTTATGAGGATTGAAATTAATTTACATAATTCAATCAGTAGATTATTGCTCAATAAAAATAGGTGCATAATAGAAGAAAATACTAATATGTACCTTTTTACGCAACAATCAGCATAACTAATATCTATGAATGCAAAATATAGAGAATGCTGCAGTGTAGAGGCAGACCAGTATTAACTGCTGTGTATTAGACGTGTATTATTGTAACGAAACTTCAAGCTGATCTGGCCAAAGTATTGTATATGTGTCTGCTGACCTTTTTTCATGGCTTTTCAGTTCATGCAGTTCATTAAGAATGAAAACATTAAGTAACTTTTTGGAAATCATTTGAATTTCTGACCTACATGAACTTCCCCTTCTTTTAAACTGTTAATGAATATTTGCAGAGGGCACTCTCTGCACAAAGAACTCTCTTGGAAGACCACTGCATAAATCCTGTGGTTCTTGTGACTCCCATTTTCATTCACAGTTAAATCAGCTAGTGAACGTATATTTTGAAGATTGCTTTGATATCATGACACACCTGAGGTCATCTGCATAGGAAGCCAAAGGCAGTCCCCATGAAATTACTGGCCCTTGGGATGTGATCATCTCTTGTTCTGTAGTCAGGTCTGCCATGTATTCATATAAGGACATTTTAACTAGCACTCTAATCTGCAAATTTAAACCAGTTCTAAATCCTTTCAATTTTTCTTCTCTCTAATTTACACAGAAGGTGGAATACTGTTTTCACTGAAAGGGATAATGGTGTTTTTCTTACTTCCATGGTGCTATATATCACCCAGAAAATATATGCTATTCTGCATTGTTTTGTGGGGGGGTTACGTTCTTTGTCCATTTTTTATCTTTTTTTCTTTGTCCGTTCTTTATCATTTAAGTTAAAGCTGAAATATAATTTGTATTAGTCAGAGCTTGCTTAAATAACAACAGAAAAATTTGTGCAAAAGTTACAAGGCTATACCACCCTCCTTGAAGTGACCCTGGTTTAGGATGCACGATAATTTTCTCCTTCTAAGCAGTGGCCTCCATAAAGTCACACTGAAATCAGCAGCAAGGCTACTGCTGGTTTCAGATGTACTGGATCAGTCCCAAACTGTCAAGTCTGCTTTCCATTCAAGGCAGCTCTAAGAATGTCCTTTGATTTTACTGGAGGCATAATAATCGCCTCGGTGGGACTGATGTAGGCAGAATCTGTGTCTGTTCTCTTTGCAATTTACAAGTATGTATACCTTTGACTTTCCTATATTTGTTCATGAGCTGACTGAAGGCATTTCTCTTGGATTTTTCTTGCCCCAGTACAACCAGTAAATTTACTTGAAAACAATGTAGGAATAACAAGGATTAAACACAGCTATACATCTTGCCTGTGATGTGGAAGTAATTTAAAGGAGTTGCTTTCCCTTCTGGTAACAAAAAAAAAAAAAAAAGTAAATTAATGTGTCATTCAGAAAAGACAAGCCAGAGATAAAGACATGAGATGAAATGCATGTGTTTGGGCTTTGTGAACAGAACCCTCATTTGCTTAAGCAGCTTGCTTGCCAGATACGATTTCCACACTTTACTAAGCATGACCTGCTTTAGAAGACGTTTAAGCAACAATATTAAACTGCAAATTACATAACTAGGGAGAAGACACTGTTTCTATCTGCAGGAGCAAGATCTCAAAGAATATGAAGAGGGACTGTCAAGTGGGTGCCAGGAAGAACTGGCAGAAGCCGATGGGATTTTAGCTCTTGTACATCACTGAAAATCCTACAGTTACATAAAGTTAACAATAATGCTGCTTTTATGGTCCCTGTTGTTACATAACTGTGGTCACATCCCTGCCAAAGAAACTGGAAATGGGAGGAGACATAGGTTGCATTTTGATTGGAATAGTCTTCAGTTGACCATTTAATTACAACTGTTTGCCTAAGCAACCCAATTAAATAGCATTAGAGGGAAACAGTAGAGAGTGATAGTTTTAACTCTAAACAAATACTGATCAAAATGGAGGGGGTGAAAAGGCAACAGGTTTGAACTTTAGTGGAAGCAGCAGTGATTTCCCTGTAGGTTTCAGATGTGCTGGTGCACTAGTGATTTAGTTTGCATAGGTGCCACTGAAAGACTAGATTTTGATTTAGTTATGCTATTATTTGTATAAAACTACAGGGATGTTGATTTTGCCCTGTAATAATGCTATGTGTTGGTGTCTTCACTGATGGACTTTCATAGATGGAAACTTTTTTATCAGAAGAGGTAAGTGTACTCAGCAAATGTGTACTAGAAGGAAGTTCAGGAGCTTTTAGCGTTGTTACTGACCAATTTAATGACTTAAAGCTGGACTCTAGTACAAGACTTAGGAGTTCAGAAGTTGAATGCTTAGCATGCATATACCCAGCCTTGGCAAGGTCCACAGGCCAGGTATAAAACATATATCTTCATGAGCACATACAGGTATTCTGCCCAAGCACGCCAGGCTTAAGCAGGCTAAGATCTGAAGCTGTGTAACTGTAGTAAAAGCCAAGCAATGACTGTCAGCTGGTATCTAGAAATATCTGAGCTTCTTGAGCAAAGACTGGTCTGTTTATATCATCCTAAGGATGATATAAATCTGTGTGTTAGGAAGTATTACCATACTGCTTAGCATAAACTCAGTATGGGGGGAAGTAGAAATATCAGGGACCTGAGGAGAGTTTAATGCAAGAACTGCAGCAACCACTGACTTACAAGGTCAGTGGAGTTCACAGCCACTCTTAAGGCAGAACCTAAACTCTACTAACTTCCCAGTACAGGCACAAGCATTTTTATTTTTTTTTATCTAGGACTGCCTTCTGTGCCTTTGCTTCCATTTTTGTTCATTTGCCTTGTTCAATTTTCAGGTCATTGGGGAGCTGCCAGTATTTTACTCTCTGTTCATACTGCAGCTAGCACAACAGGGCTGCTTTGGGGCTTTCCAAACCATCACACTCAATTCGATGATAATATATATGTGAGTAGTTTCACTGGCCTACTTTTTCTTAAATGTAAAAATCTACTCACTGCCTTGCTAAAATCAAGACCTGTTTTCTTTAATTAAGAATTCAGTTCATCCTGATCTCACTATATATTGTGACAGAAGAGATACTCATCAAAAACTGGTGCTGCATACTCTTACTGACAGTCACGGTCATCTCAGCTCTGTCTTCTGCTTTGCCTCATCCCTCTATTCTATTTGCCCTAATATTTTTTTTGCAAACTCTTTGCATGCTTATTTTTGGACTTTTTGCTGTTGATGGGCAAGTGGAACATTTGGAACAATCCTGTGTGATTCAGCATATTGCAAATGAAATAGTTTGCTGGGTGATATTTTACACCTGGCTGCTGCAATTTGCATCTTCAGTTAGCATTCTGGGACAGTATTAGAGGAACTGGCCATGCTACCAAAGCAGGAGAGAGCTGGAAACTCTAGGTTTGATATTGAGGTTTTAGACACATTGATGTTTAACAAGTAGATTTGTGAAGGATTAAATTTAGAAATTGAGGAAGGGCTTATTGTGTATGTGTACTATAGGAAGTTGGATGAGGATTGTGGGCTGCATAAAATCTAAATAAATCCCTTGAGAAAGAATCAGAAGACCTTGGATGCTTAAACAAAGCTTAAAGGTAGCTAAAGACTTCCAGGAGAAATTCATGCAGTGGTTTCCTATGTAAAACAATTTCCTATTAAAATGGTTTAAATAGCATGTAACTAGGCTATATATAACGCCACGTATCTGTCAAGGGCCCATTGCTGTAATAAATACACAGCTGATTTTTGTGAAAAACTTAACCGACATGAAAGAATTCTGCCAGGGCCGTGAAGAACCTGGCGACATGCGTGGTCTGAAATGGCTTCCCCGTCTGCACTTTGCCTGCTGCAAGACAGATGCCTCCTCCTAGACCAGGGATTCCTAGTCTTTCTAGAAGGGAGTCGTCTGTGTCTACCTGCTGGCTTCTTCACCTGGCCCTCCCTTTTGGCTCTAGATAGCTGTTGACAGGGACAATTACTTGGAAGAAGAGATAGGAGCAGACTCTAGGTCTTTCCCTTCCATACTGGGCACCCTAAGCCCTTTGTGCCCTGGAGTGAGGCAAGGGGCCATGCTGAGCTCTCAAGAGCTCTTCTAGCTGTAGTTTTCATAAGGG